GTACCGGTGGTGCTGGTGGAACGACTCAAGCGCATCTCCGAAATGTAATACAGTTGTCGCCGGCCCTATTTTTCGTCCTCCCGTCTCCTCGCAGGTTCGAATTATGGAGCCCCTCAACGAAGCAAACGGCTACAGCAGCAAGAACGCCTTCAAGGGGAGGCTGGTGTTCGGAGTGTACGGGAAAGAGTCTCCAAAGGTAGGTCAAGAGCCGGATTCAGTAAATCCAACGCGAGCGTACGAATCGGTCCTGCCGTCGTTTAGTTTTCTTTCCACCAACGCGAATCTTGTAGGAGGGAGCGCGAAACGCATCAGGGTTCATCAGCGTCGGCAAGTCGTACCGCAGCTGGCACTGGTGACAACAACAACTGCTCCTGAGGCTTCTTTTTTTTTCTCAGGCGTGCACTCAACCCAAACACAAACCGCGCTGTGCGGCACACCGTACCATCTCCCAATTGTTGAGAACAGCAACGAGGGCGGGGTTTCGGGGGAGAACAAGGCTCCTCTGCCGCTGCCACGGACTCATCACCGTGACTGGAGGAGAGAGACAGGCAGACAGACAGGCAGACAGACAGACAGACTGGGACCACCGTTCATCGGATGGGATGGTAACCAAGACGCCTTCGCCCCGACTGCGTTTCCACCAGGCTATCCTATCTTTTTCGATCGCCACACCTCTCGTTTCGGCGTTCTCATCGATGCTTCTTAACCAAGAGCCGAATCCCACGACCAGGCGGCCGAGAACTTCTTGCGCTACGTGCGGGCGGATCGATCGAACGGGGAACCTTCTTACGCTTCGGGGCAGCTAACCAAGATGGAGCCTGGCGTCTTTCTAGAGGGCGGAAAGGTACATAATACAGAATGGGGGGGTGGGGGGGGGGGTACTTGCAGTCGCGCCTGCCGTAGTCGTTAGAGTATTGACCCTGTNTGAGATATTCGGCGAGTCGCATGAAGGGTGCGCTGCGTCCTGTTAAGGGTGTTTGGCATCTTGTGCTTCCTTCCTTGCGCACGGATGACAGCGGCTGCGTATGACTTTGTTTATACTCTGGTGCTTTCACTTCCTGAGACAGATGTAAGCACTGTGTAACTGCCTCGAGGGTGCTTGACCAATTTGACACAACGTGGTGCGATCATCCCCCTTGCGCGGAGTGAGGGTTCTCGACCCCGCACAACGTATTCTACTCGACCACCATTATGGTTGCCGCAAAAAAAAAAGTCAGGGTCAAAAAAATATAAGCGGTAACCGGGTTGCCGAGCTCACGAAGGGATCGGCTTGTTCTACGACGTCGTTGCCAAGCGACGAAAACCCAACCCCGACGGCAAACACCGAGCGGGGCGTTTAGGGGAGGAATACTCATGGAAACGCATGCCGTAGTCGTTAGACCATCGGCCTAATAGCAACCCTACCAAGGCGGGAAAGGGCGATATGCCGGATTTCCAGGCTACTTCTCGCAGCGGTAAACCGTGAGGACCAGGCTACGTTATCATTCTTGCGTTTGCTGTGCCGAACAGAGGAGGAGGGGTCGGGGTACTTGCAGCGACGATGGTCTTCTAAATGTATAGTCGCATGTCACGTGGGTGCTGCTGCTGACGATAGCCGATGTGGGTTTCTCGGCACTGCAGTTAGTGGTTGCCACAATTATTGCAGCGGCGGGTCATGAACGCATGCATTCAGTCTCGTCCCGGGGGCTGGCCAGTCTGTCCAGTATTTCTCTTGTTTCCAGCAATGTACGGGAAGGTTCCTTTTCACAAATCGCGATGCTCGCAAGCTAGACGCGTAGCAACCCGCCGGACGCGTGGAGGCGGTCGCCGAGTATTCTCGTGCTCGCCAAGGCCCCGCTTTGCGCGTCCACACGGACTGTTGGCGGTGTAGGCGCTTTTACGAACTACGTTATCACGCTGGCGGACTCTTGCCGAAGAGCGGTTGTGCACACAAAGTACCTTGTGTAGTATCCAGCTTTGGTTGGGCGGGGCCAAACGGAAGAATCGCGCGTCAAGTCCATCAAAACCCGTGACATCCAATCCGCGTGTCCCCCGGATATCTCGGACATCCGTGTTCTGCCCAGCGCACCCAGGCTGGTCACACGAGTCTTGTTCAGCTCCACTTGTGACTTCCGAGAGAAGGAAGTCACCTGTGAACCTGGGCATGGCAAGAGCTGAGTGAAGGTCGCACCAGCAAGCCCGAAGGCTCACACAACCCATTTGATCTCGACTATTTCTGCGCGATACCGTAGGTTGTATGAGATTCCGCGCCCCCCGGACTGTTGTTGTTGGGCTCTCGATTACTCAACGACAACAAGGGTAGAAAATGTACGAGTTTATGATGCGTTTTCGGGGAAGCTGTGGACGAAACGGTTCCACCTTCGCCTTCTCAGTACCGTGGGCTGATGTTGGTGCGGAGTAATCATGTTGTTGAAAATTGGTCCTGGGGGTGTGAGTACCTACCTCGTGCGACCTACAGCAGCACCGCGACTTTTCCCGTCCCGTCCTCCCGTACCCCTCCGACTCATCACTCTCACCCCCCCCCCCCCCCCCCCCCCCCCCCCCCCCCCCCCCCCCCCCCCCCCCCCCCCCCCCCCCCCCCCCCCCCCCCCCCCCCCCCCCCCCCCCCCCCCCCCCCCCCCCCCCCCCCCCCCCCCCCCCCCCCCCCCCCCCCCCCCCCCCCCCCCCCCCCCCCCCCCCCCCCCCCCCCCCCCCCCCCCCCCCCCCCCCCCCCCCCCCCCCCCCCCCCCCCCCCCCCCCCCCCCCCCCCCCCCCCCCCCCCCCCCCCCCCCCCCCCCCCCCCCCCCCCCCCCCCCCCCCCCCCCCCCCCCCCCCCCCCCCCCCCCCCCCCCCCCCCCCCCCCCCCCCCCCCCCCCCCCCCCCCCCCCCCCCCCCCCCCCCCCCCCCCCCCCCCCCCCCCCCCCCCCCCCCCCCCCCCCCCCCCCCCCCCCCCCCCCCCCCCCCCCCCCCCCCCCCCCCCCCCCCCCCCCCCCCCCCCCCCCCCCCCCCCCCCCCCCAATATCCCTCACGAGCTCCCCCTCACTCCATACAGATTGCCGGTCTGAACATCATCAACATCGGGGGGCAAGAAGAGCTGGAGTATGGTGGGGAAGTCGTAGCCCCCCTCCCGTCCCTGCTGGAGGCGTCCTCGAACAACCGGCCCCACGACCGGCGGGGTTTGCTAACGAGGGACAGGCTTTCGCGGGGGCCGGAGTTCGGGATAACTCTCGGGGCGGCCCCGGCTTTGGACGGCAGCCACGAGGTCTTCGGCAGGCTGCTGCAGGTGCGTGCGTGTCGCTCGAAAGCGTGGAACCATGGTTCTGCTACTGCACCTCCTGAAGTTTTCTTGAAATACGTGGAGAGTTCTCGTCAACGATCAACAGGGGGGGGGGAGGGGGGGCGTCGTTGTTGTCTTTAACATGACTCGAGCGCCCTACGTGTTCGTAAACATCATTGTTGCCATTGGAGGAAGCCGTGCGCTGCTCCTTATTGTGTTGTTTTCCGCGTGGCGTCGCCTGTGCAAGACTGTCATGACGACAGACGGGTTTCATTTCCTGCTGAACAATGGAACGAGGTTGAGCTACTTTTGATTGGAGGGCTGGCACCGGTTGTATTTTTGCAAGACCGCGCCTATGATTGCAGTTGTGTTGCGGTCAACAAATGATTGGCCGAAGTTTGTGTAAGCGCGCCACGCTGCCAAGAGGGAAGGTTTTGTAGTACACTCGTCGCCGTTTTCAAGACGCACCCGATATATTTTTTGGGCCTGTGAAAGCGTGGTTCAGGTTTCACCCCCCGCCCCTCCATTATTGGCGTCACGGCCCAGCTTGGTTTCGAGAAATCTCCTCTTGAACGCGGGGAGCTGGGTGACTTGACCTGGGCGTCTTTGAAAGGGTAGTTTTTAGTCGCAAGGTTAGTTTTGGGCTGCCCATGAGGGGACGGTGAGAAGCGCTGCGGTGAATAGGTCACCCGGGAGCAGCCTCAAGCGTGCTATCTGCAATCTATAAGCGATTGATGGTTGTCGTCCAACGACCTTGCAACCCCCTCTTGATCGAATGTAAAACGTTTTGTTAGCTGGGATTCCCATGGCATATCTGGATTGGCACAGGAAAGGCAAGGACGATGACCGGCCCCTGGTTCATCCTTGTGAAACGTAGCCTGGGCCGGCGAAAATCCGGCATATTGCTCCGTCCCAGCATGGTAGGGATGCGAGGCCAATGGTCCAATGACTACTGCGTGCACTTACATGAGTTACCCCCCCCCCCCCCCCCNTTCTCAGGGAGAAGATGTGCTGGCGAGGCTAGAGAAAGTTCCGGTGTACGGCGGCCAAAGCAGACTAGAGGAGGGAAGTTTAGCGTCCGACGCCTTCAAGGCTCAGAACGTGAGAGCAAGGAAAACGGAGATGCGCGCACGTCGTGCGGAACGTATTGCCGCTGTTCAGTGGTTGCTCTGATACGTATGTCGTCTTTCACGTGAGAGCGCCCTGTGTGCCGCACTGGAAATCGAGTCCAGAACCTGTCACCTTGTTTTATTTTGTGCGATATTTGCGGCAGTAACCCCTCACCACGCCCACCGCCATCGCCTGCCATCCCCCATCCTATCCCCCCCCCCCCNGAAAATGGACGTGGACCGGACCCTCACCGCCGGGCTGTGCTAACCTCATCGGTTGCGCCACTGCCGATGGCATGCGATATCGCCACCCTACGTTGACGGCAACGCCCTACGCTGACGGCAACGTTTGCTTTTCCCGTTGTTTCGTGAATGCGCTTGGATCGCCGCCCCTGATCGACAGCGCGCCTTGGTGTATATTGGAAAGAACGTTTTCAGAGACGAACGCGCGGTGGACCGCACAGGCTCTCTTATGCGAAGAGTGGACATCCTCAGTTGCGGGATGTTGTGAGAGGAGAGAGAGAGAGAGAGAGAGAGAGAGATTCTAGAAGAGACTTCATTACGTGAACGGTACTGCTGTTTATTTGGTGAAGGCGTCGGCGTTGGGTTCGCGTGCGAAGAGTGCTCAAATCTTTCCGCTGTGGCTGTGGCTGGGTTACTGCTGTATCCAATGTAGCTTACAACGTGATGATAGAAAATGTGATGTCGTGACGTGCTCCTCTACGGGATGTTGTGGCTGCGGGTGCTGAAATCAGTGAGTTAAACATTTAACACATGTCCTCGAGACGACGGCGGGGGTGGCTGGGGGGGGGGCGAACTTCTTCTTATCGCGAGTTCAGCACTTCCCCCGATTGATTGTGGGAGCTAAGTTTTTCACCCATAATGTTATGTGCCATCGACCCGACATTTTGGAAACCGCCCGGACGGAAATAGTCTAAATGATGAGTGACGCTCTGCGGGTGCGTTTGTTTGCTTTGTTTTCCTTCAAGAGCCCAAAAAACACGGTGAATTTTCATCGCGTCATTGGTGCATGATGCTTAGGAAAAGCTTCTGAAGCAAACATTAGCGGTGAATCGGCTTACAATTTCCACGCTGGAGTCGAAATATTGCAGTCAGTTAAACTTAGGCAGGATGAGAAACGGTGACCGAACCTGACCGGTACAACCGCCAAACCGACGCAACATTGAAGACAGACAGTAGATGTCGGCAACCCAGCAGTATATCTACCGTATATGATGAAGTGTATGCATGTTGTGTGGATCGGTTGGGATTTTGTTTTTTTGTGTTTTCGAACAGATACACGGCCCAGGGCTCACGCGTGCGACCGCGGTAATGTACGGGATACTTCACTCTCTGCCGACAATACGTACCCAAACACCAGTCCATTTTTTATTTTATTTTTTTAAAGGTGTACCCTCCCCGGCCTACGGGGGGCAATTGGCTTGTGACCACGGAAGGCGTCCGCGTCAGTTGGACCAGTACGGACACCAGAAGGTATGAGTGGAGACCTGAACGGGTTTTCAATGTGAAGACAACAACAGCAACAAACACCCAAAACGTGCGTGGGCGATCGGGCGCGCACCTCCTCGTTCCGCAGACCGTACTGTTTCCTCAAAACCCCTCCCTCGTTCCAATATCCATAAATGACAATCACGGAGCCCCCGAGCGCGACGTTGTCTCTCTGCTCTGGCAGCCACTTGCGGAGATAACAGCCAGCAGCAGCGAAACAACCAGAAAGAAGAAACCAGGGAGCGAGTAGACAAGGTGAGACAAAAGAAACATGCACCCGGTTGCCCGCTCTGCCGCAAGAGCGATTGGCCCACAAAGAGGAAGCAAATCTCGAAGCTCTGCCCTCAGGTCACTGCTGGTACCAGAACCGCTGCTGGTTCTCGACATTTGGTTCCTTTTCAAAGATTTGCGTTGTTCTGGTGGTCCTTGTGTGCACACAGGTAGAGGGCACAGACGAATAGACCCACAGATCGCTGGGGCGAGGAGCCAAGGAAGCTGCAAAGGGGAAAAAGCTTCCTGCGAGAGGTAGAGTGATTGCCATCTTCGAGTTGTGAAGGGGGGGTTGCCTTTTGTCATTTTTTCGTCGCGGACTGGATACAAGAACCTGCAGCAGTGGCGATGGAAAAAGCGTTCAACAAGTCAAGAACACCGCCAACAAGAACAAGTTTCGAACGAACGCGTTGCATATCGTCCGCGCGCTTCGAGTTTCTCCCACCTACGTGTAGCGCCGCGTGCAGTGCTGGCGCTGGCGTAGAGGGCTGAGGGGGGGAGGGGGGTAGTTCTCTCGGACAATTCGTGGCATGCGCACAGAGTTTTGTCGTCAAAAAAAAACGCGGGACAACCTCCTCGTTCATGTTGTTTCCCCTCAGTGGGCATGTACTTGTTTATTTGGTTTTTACCAAGGTACGAGCAGGGGGGGGACATCAACACCGGCACGTGTTTCATGGCCACAAAGCACTTGTTACACAGCGGGCTTAGGGAGAAATAGACAGAAAAAAGCCCACACCAGTCGCTGCGTCGCAGTTCAGTGCAGCAAATGAGTCACAGCAGTAGGACCGCCTTTGGCTGCTGCTGCTCTACCTGCGTGCACTACGGAAGTTTCGATGCAATGCAGGCGTCCTGGCCACGATGTAATTGTAAGAGACGGTTGGACAAGCCGAAATAGTTCTCTCGTGTCTGGCTTTCTCTGAAAACGCCGCTGCTGTCGTGTACTATACCATGGTATGTATCTATCATGGCCGCAACAAGCAATTTTGGCTCTGATAAATCCGCACTTTCTTCTACATAATTCGATCCCTTACCTTGTCTGGATGGGTTGGGGGGGAGGGGTGTACTCATAGTCGTGCATGCCGTAGTCGTTAGACCGTTGACCTC